TAAATTTAGCATAATTTCTTTTTTAGTATTTGCACATAGTTTCCTCCAAATGAACCTTAATGGAAAGATATTTTGCGAAAATTTAAAAATATTAAAACGGCCTCTAATTAAGATGTAACTGAATTTATAATTATTTTATCATTGTGAATAGATTATATTATTGTTATTAGATTATGCACTTACAACATAATTGCATAAAGTAATGTAATTAAGAGTTCACAGATGCAATGTAATATAATTACAATGCATTTACCTAAATTGTAATTATAATCACTTATTTAATACGACAATATTATTACAATCACAATGTAATTTAAATTGGGTACTACAATTGCATACCCTCCACTCAAAAGGAGGTACTGATAAGCCTGGAAGTTATTATCAACAAAAAGCCTGTTCAGGACAATTGATGACAATTTCCACCGAGCGAAAAGTACATTCTTAAGCCCAGGCAAATCATGACAATAAAAATCATTTAGTCTTATGATTCCACTATATTTAAACCTAAATTTGAATTCTGCACCAAATTATTTACCTATATTTTAACATACTTTATGAATTATTAGAAGCGATATGGCAAATATCTTCTAAAATAACTGTAAAATATTTGTATCCATTAATTGATTCAGATACACACTTTTATTATTTAAGTATATCAAAATAACAGTTTCATGTTCCTGAATACAAAAATTATGGAAAAAGTTAAAGTAATATTCTTAGAAGCATATGATATTAGTCACCCAGATGGCAAAATTATAGTTAATTTTTGCCCCTAAATACAAGTTTATTACACAGTAGTCAAATGCGTAACTAATAACATGTTATATAAAAAATTAATGATAATAACTAATTCAGAAGTCAAACAACAAAATTCAGCGTTGTATTTTCAAAATATTTTTTCACAGGACTAGTTTCGATGGTTTTACCGAACCACCATCTTCAGCTGCAAAAACCGCAAAGGATTTCCATTTGCGGTTTTGCAGCTGAAGATGGTGGTTCGGTAAAACCATCGAAACTAGTCCTGTGAAAATTTGGTAAATATAACGCTGATTTTTGTTGTTTGACTTCTGAATTAGTATTTATTCGGCGTGTTATTGTGTCTTAATTAATGATAATAAGTTTATCAGAAATGAATTAATTCTGTAAATAAACTTTCTGCACTTGAAAATTTTCTATACCTGAGGGGAGGGAGAGATCTAGTAAAATTAGATTTATTATAAATTCAGTTGGACCAAACACCTTCTCTCTCTATATATGCATCACTAAAGAAATAAATAAAATTATCATGCTTAAAAAACAGATATACCATACCAGCTTTTCTTCCTCTTGTTACCCTTTACATTGAGAAATAACAAACAGTACAACACTGAAAAATACTATCCTTGAAATTTTGTTTAAATGAAGAAACACACACCATCTTTTTATTTAAGCATTACACTCAAAACAGATACACATACCAATTATTTTCACTAGCCTGTATACTGATAACATGCCATATAAAAATGAAAATAATTATCCTTGAAATTTAGATAAAATGAAGTAACACAATGGGAAATTTATGCACACGGACATCTTTTTTCTATTGCATGTTGTCTGACATGATTCCACAAGTGCCTAAAAATGTACCCAAAGAAGCACATTTCAATATTAACAAAAAAATTGTTTACTGATTAAAATTCATTCATTTCGTACCAGTATTATAAAGATCATGCATGAAACAAATCTACTTTCCCATACTTTTAAGTAAAACTTAACTGAATTTTTATACTGGAAAATATGACTATATTTCTATATATTACAAGCAAGAAAATAATAATTTGAATGTTCTGCATTCATTTCTAAATCTTTACTCCATTGCAAAATTGGGTAAAAATCCTAGTATACGGGCAGCCCTGGCGCGATTTTGAAAATTATCGCCAACCACCAAAATGACCCAAACAACGTCTAACTATACACTATATACATACTCAAACAACGTCTATGTATATACTATACACTATATACTAAGTATATACTATGTATAACTATATATATTCTTTGAATGACCCGTTTACTACTCATCGTATATGTCCCGTTTTTATTGCTCATCATAAAGTCGCCAAAAGTAGCCAAATCCCGTGTGCACCGGATACTAGGATTAACCCCCAAATAAACTTGCACAATCCTTGCAATTATTGAAGTCAGATTATATATATTTTGTCTCACACTATTCAATTTATTCTATTGACTTCAGATGTCAATGTCAAAATTCTGGAAGTTAGAGTAGAAACAGTAGTGGGCACCGTGCATAAGCAACTCATCTAACTTTTTAACAATAGTGATTATAAAATAAAGAAAAAAATTATATATCATTCCAACGATATTGCAACTATAGTATAATGTTACATATATCTTTAGCAAACATTCAGATTTTATCTTGACTTTCCAAATTATTATTTATTTTTTAATAAATTTCAATATACTAATGATTTTTCATGTTACATTAGTATAAATTCTACAATTAGCACAGGAAAAGAAATCTGCGCGCTTTATATTAGAAGAGAAATTTCTTTTCCACATTCAAAACATCCACATTGGCGATGTTTGGCGACGGGTACATTAACCCTAGACTAATTTAATTATAGCTATTATTACAGAAATTAGCAGATACTCAGGTTATTGTAACAAGAATTTCACTTTACTTGCACATTATAAACATCAGAGAAGATATAAACTCTAAATGAAGGCGTAATTAACATTATACTACTAAGCCAAAGTTCAGCGAGCCTGGACCAGGTTTCCAATTGTCTCTTCGGCAATTATTTACCCATATTTTTCTTCTTTCTTCATTTTTGGAAATTTTACAATGTATGACCTTTTCGTGAATGATTTGAACAATTAATAGCTGCACATCCGCCCATTTTACACAAAAAAAAAACACAAAAAATTGTTGCACCGTAACTACACAGACAGAGGCCATTAAATCTCCCACTTGGGATCGCGAATGCCTGATGATTCAGCCTGGTATATAGGAGCCTTAATCAGACTAGAGCTACACCAGACGCGCTCTCTGTCGAGTAGATCGCAAAAAACGACCCGTTCTTCTATCTCGACGGTGTCCAGACTAGGGCCCAGACCCAGTTAATATTGAAGTTTTTGGCATGCTGTTTTGAAATCACAACTTGCGTGACGATGGCAGTATCATCGACGAATAGTGCAAGATAAGTTTGGGGATCATGCAGGTTGTCATGAGTATAAATGATAATAAAAATTTGACCCAGCATACTGTCTTGGAAAACTCCGATATTGATGTTGCTAATATCAGAAAGTTGTGAGTTTATACGAAGAGAGAATTTGAAGTTTCTCTAGGAAGGAACTGATATCAGAACGATGCATTATAAAAGAATGTGGAGGAAGTTTTTATACCACTGATACAAAAGCTTAACAATGCCATGTTCTAATTTTAATATCTACAAATGACTAGTAATCATGAATGTATACGAATAAAATTCTATGCTATTATACTAATATCATTTATCATAAAAATAATGAAACATATTTCTAAGGCTGCCTATATTATACGTATCAGTCATTGAATCTTCGACCCCTGTACTGGATTTTAGTTTTTCGTTCTGAACTCAAATTTAAATGTGTGTATAATATATGTAATATATAGTATGTGTGTGCGTGAACAATAACGAGCAGCTACCCTAAGCAAAGCAAGTACCTTATCTTGGGGTGACCTTCTCAAATTCTTTCTCATGAATCTCGCACATAACGAAGAGAAGTTCCCGGCGTGCCAAGATAGACTCTGTCCTTTAACTACCACAAATAACGTTCTATCTACTGATAATAAGTTTAACTTTAATAACTGTAACTATTATTTTTAAATCTACTCTGCAACCCATGTTGGGTTATGGATTTTGAGTCTGGGCTTATTCTTGCAAAACAAACAGAAAAACACAGCAAACTTCTTGGACTGAGGCAAATTGCAGATTAAAATTGCTATATTCATAACAAAAAGCTACATTAAGTTCTTAAACTGTCAAGTTAAGGGCTTATTATTATCAAAAAGAGTTTTAACAAAAGCCAGGAGCAAATCAACAACGCTGAAAAAAAATCTGTAACTATTATTTCAATAATTTATATATATATATGTTATAATAAAATTTCATAGTCAACAATACACTTAAAATTCTGACTGTATGTTCTTTTCATTTTTAATGGCGACGGTCTCTTATTTGAAAGTACGTGGAATTAAATCGACAGCCCCGTAGTCAAGTTGTTTTTCCCGCCTTTTCTACACGTACAGTTATAGACTATTCTGGAAATATTTAAAGCGAACTGGAATGGCTGACGAGGTTGACGTCATTTCTTGTAAGCTCCGCCTTTCCAGAGGCTATAAAAGGACTCGCAAAGGAATATCGGGGTCTTTTCTTTAATGTAACGATGCAATAAAATATATACAAAAAGTTATTAGTAATTCTTTTTTATTTACTCCGGAAATATGATTTTTTGTAACTGCTATTTCTCCTGACCAATAATAAATTGATCCTGTTTTTTAAACTTATCGTCTGATAATTTAAGCTACGACTACATCTATGATTCTTCACCAATCTATTTATTCCGGACAAAAGCTAGTACATCACACACACACACACACACACACACATATATATAAATTAAATTATTTTCCTGTACTTTTCTGAATTATCTGTATATAATTCATTTACATCACCTTTTGATTCTACTTACCTTATTACTGATTAGTAACCATTTCAATGTCTTCCTGTTCAAGGAATTGGTAGATTACTTCCCTACACTTTACATTCTTATTAAAAATTAATTGATAGATTTTTTATTGGTTTTGATTTGGAGTATGGCTTAAGGGCGTTTCGATCATCATTCACCACCATGTAGCGTGTTACGAGAACTGTCTCTAATCTGTTTTTATGAAAAACAGCTCTATGATCCAGCCTCTCATGGACCATGTTAAACTTACGAATGAATAAACTGCGTGAAAAAGTTTGAATGTTCAGTAAAACATGCATTGTATTGTTTTGTTGTAGGTCATTCGCAGTATTAATAAATTAAATCATGTCTCTTTTAAGGAAAAGCTTACAGTTTTATAGTATCGGACGATTATGCGTTTCAAAACATATAAATGGTTTAAATTTCAGTCAACGTAGGCTATGGAGGTAGGATAATATTATCTTTTAAACCGGTCCAAAAGTTGAAATCAAGATCGTTATAAACAATCATTACAGTTATATGAAAAATTTATTTCTGTGTAACATTATTATTAATGCTTTTTTCTGTGTAACATTTCAAATTTATTACAATGACTGCGTCATTTCATCAGAGAATGAAATGAATTCTTTATTTTGAGAGAATGATTCGAATTAGAAAAAGATGATTTTAATACATCGTTTATTTGTGCTGTAAATTGTAAGAAATAAGTAGAACTGTATATTGCTGAATTTATATATTTGTTCGCGGTATTGTAGTTTGGGAATAAGTTGCAAATTATGATTTTTAAAGTGAGAAGGTAACTAAATTTTGCTTTTGTTCATAGTTTTTTTCCTTATGTGATGTAAATCCGAATTTGATTCTCTAAAATACCTGTGATGTCTCAATCCGCAAATTTTTGTGAGTTATATAACGGGCGTTTGGCTTGTAATTTCGTTATTTTAGAACTTTTATATTGCTTCTACTTAATATATAATAACAAATTTGCAGTTAGAATTATCATTTTCAGTTTTCAGAATTTCAGTTTCATTTTGAGGACTGAGTAAAATTTTAGGTTGAAATATTAGTTCATGGTGAAGGGATGACTTAGTATAAATTTAAATTTTTTATTGTTTTAACGTATGTGATGGATTTTCCAATAAGTAAAACAGCAGCATAGTATACACTGATGTCCAAAAGTTAACCATAATTAATGAAATGTGGAAGAACATGAGTAAATATTAATTAAATTGACCAAAATCACTTGTAAAGAATATTGTTTGAAGGTGAACCACTGTGCATATGCAGAACATTTCAGTCGACGTTGGCCTGCGTAAAACATACGCGCACATCAGAAAGCAAATAAAACCATCTCAAGTGGTTTCAAAGGTTATGTGCAGTTGCTGTGCTGAGGAGTGAGTTAAACAATCAGATAGGCTGAAGGATGGCATAAAGTTGCCAAAAGGGCATGATTTTGAAAGGAAGAGTTATTGAAATGCTGGAATGTGAACAATCTCAAACTGAAGTGTCTCAAATTCTGAACGTCCCTTAGTGTGTGATCTCAAGACTGGCAGTAGTTTTACAGCATGGGAGATGTTACCCACGACCTGTACAAGGTCGATAACCATTTGTCAAGACCGATATTTGACAATAACTGCACAATATTAGAGGGACATTTGTGTTAGAGAACTTGGTTCAGTGTTACAGGAATACGATCTTTGAGGCAAATTGTTTATAGGAGACTCCATCATGCTGGTCTGTATGCCAGACAACCAGCCATTTGCATTCTTCTCTTGGCTGCGCATAATTGCGATTGTATAAACTGCAGTTTGAAACATCAGCAGTGGAGTTTGCAAGAGTGGGCCAGTGTAATTTTCAGTGATGAGTCCCAGTTTGCTGTGAACACTGCAATGCTGTGATTCTCGTTGGATAACAATATGGAGATAACGTGCAACTCATTTTCACCCAAGAAACATCACTGGATTATTTTCCTTGAAAGGTAGTCACGGTGTGGGCAAGCATAGTGCAGGTTGGCCATGCAGACCTTCACATCTTTTTTTACTTCTAAAAGGTACAAAGTCCTTACGCGTATGTTCACATGTTTTGAGGTGCTGTTCATGGATGATAATTTGCCTTCTCACGGTGCAATCCTGGATGACAACTTCATTGAAAGTGAAGATATCCAGTATGTGCAGTAGCCTGCTCATTCTCTTGATTTTACTCCAATTGAGCATGTGTAGAATTTGCTCGGGAGACAAATTGCAACCCTTTAGTACCCATCTAATTTTATTTCAGAATTGAAAAGAGCTGGAACTGTTAATGCTGGGCACTGTTCATCCACTCTCAAAGCACATATAGGCAATCGTTGTGCAGCATGCATGGCTACCAGACGCAACCACACACCTTATTAAACTGAATAATCTTTTCAGTTAGAGAGAAGAGTACCCCATGTATTATAGCCAAGTTGTTTCATTTATGGCAGCCTGAGTAGTTGAATCTTATGGAAACCCTATTGTGGCATAATCGGTTGCATGATTGTGGTGATTGGTCATTTATCGCCAAGTTGTTGTTTCACTTATGGTAGCCTGAGTAGTTGAATATTATGGAATCCCTATTATGGTGCAATCGGTTGCATGATTGTGGTAAATTCACAAGGGCTTATGATGCATGTATTGGTTAGGAAGTATATTACTTGTTTTGTGGTTTAGGCTGTAAAATAGCTGAATGTAGTAAGATTAATTTGAAGTTTCAGTAGGATTTGGAAAGAAAGGGCAAAAGATCCTTTCTTTTTTTATGTTATTTCATTGTTTGATTTAAAATGTAGTGTATTAATATTATATATTTGGCTAATCTTTGGAATATGGTAACAGGCAGTTTGGCGACATTTTGGTAAGGCGATAAAGGTTACTAGCTAGGACTTTAGCAATGTACATGGATAAAGTCAAGAGTGTGCGCAATGCCATTTTTGTGCAATTCTGTAATTTTTTTTAAGTGAAAATAGGTCGACGTGTACATGGATGATCCCGTGTATGTGCAATTCTTAAAAACGCGGCAAGCAGTGGGCGATTCTGCACTTTCTCCCAATTTCGCACCTAATCTTCGTCATGATTAAGCACTTTTGGTACTCTGATATGCGCCCTCAAGTCGCCAAATATTTTTGGCGAGAAACTTCACGCTGCCATATTACTATCTAAATTTTTTGTCTACATTTCGAACTTTAAGCCTAAAATGTCTCCAAAAAAACATGTGGTTTTCGCACATGCGAAAACTACGTTTTTAACACACGAATTTAAGCTAAAAATCCGAAAACAAAAACAAAAAACTTTAGATAGCAAAAACGTAAAGTTTCTAACCAAAAATATTTGACAAGAATCATGTACACAGCGAATCATGTTTTAACTTAAAAAAAACATCTAAAGAATGGCACAACTGTATGCAGCAAACGGAATCTACGGAACTTACGCACACCTTCGCTTAAATAAACTAACATAACAACAATAAATTTCAAAGAATACCACGTACACCAGCGTTCTGTTTCAACTTTAAAAAACATCTAGCGAATTGCACAAGCTAGGCATCGTAAAAACAAATCAACAAAATAAACTAAAATAAATTATCAGAACAATTCAAAAAATAATAATAACGACAGACATTCATAGCAAAAAAACAATGAACATAACATTCTTACAAAATAAGAACAACAATAAAATAAAATGCACTTACTATAATAATGAAAGCTTCTTTTAAAAGCAGAAATATCTTTCCCCCTTCCCCCTATCTTCTCAGATACAGAGCATACAAAGTCCAAAATGCATTCGTTAATAAAATTTCGCCAGTCACACAATGTCTGTGAAGAAAACTTCCACGATTTTGCTATATCACATGCCTTCCTACGATTCAAATTTCAAAGTAACAATAAAACTTCCTCCAACGTTAACTTGCTACACGAAAGCCAAGATCCAAACCTTAAACTCCGCTGACACCCACATACTTTATTAGCAACAATTTTACTGCAAACCCACACAAGTCTATCAGAAACACCATTTTTTGTCAGAGTTCCCATATCAGCTCCGCATTTCGGACACATCAAGCTCCGTTTTAAAAGTCTCGACACCCACAGAAATTCCAAAAATACACTACGATCCCCATAAATACATCCGTGAACAAAAGACTCGTTAACAACTCCAACATCGTATCTTTTCATACTAAATTTATTCTGCACACAATCTAAAATACGCGGCTGAAACCTTCCCACCACGTCTTTCATCGCAACATAGGTCATTTCAAAAACACACGCGACACGAACCAACTAGCAATTATTAACCTACGTCGACATGGTTGCCATACAACGTGCAATCGTGCCAAAAACCAGCGCAAAACACATATCGCCACATTTGGTGAAATTAGGGCGTTTATCAGAGTTGTACCGCACTTTTGTTCCATAAAAGTTGTAGCATAAGCGTAATTCGGCAAGCAGATTGTTGAAAAAAAATTTTGAGTTAAAAAAAAAAATGGCCTTTACTTCGTGAAAACAAAATGGCATCCAAAACAAAATTAGCAGGTTGCTGTAGCAGGGTTGGTCGCCAAATTTTTGCCAAAAAATCGTGAAGTTACCATAATCCAAAGATTAACCGTCGTGTGTACTGCCATTCTGACTTGGATTTCCTTAAATATTAAAACATCAGTTATCTTAATGTTTGCACACCAGTATATATACAGGGGTTGGACAAAAATATGGAAACACCTTTAAAAAAACATGTTTCTTTGCTTAATATGGTGTAGGAAACCCATTGGCATCCAAAACAGCTTGCAGTCTTCTCGGAATGGATAAATACAGTTCCTGTATGTTGCCAAGGGAATATTATACCATTCTTCCTGCCAAAACGGTGGCAATTCAGATAACTATGTTGGCGTGGATAACGAGAACGCACTTTCCGTTCCAACGTAGACCACAAGGTTCGATAATATTCAGGTCTGGTGACTGTGGTGGCTAGGGGAGATGGGACAACTCATCCTCGTGCTCAGAAAACCAGTCCTGGACAATGTGAGGCTGTGTGAACAGGGGCTTTGTAGTCTTGGATGACACCATCACCATCGGGGAACAAAGTTTGTACCATGGGATGAACTTGGTCGGCCAAAATGTTCACATAAGTCTTGGCAGTCATGTTGCCCTGACACCTTATCATGGGCTAGCAGAGAACCACGATATGGCTGCCCAAACCATAACAGAACCCCCGCCATGTTTCACTCTTGGCAACAGCAGTCTGTATTATAGGCTTGAAATGGCGTTCTTCAGATGTAAACTCGGCCAGAAGTGGGAACAATGTGAAAGAAGACTCGTCAGACCATATACTCGCTTCCACTGCTCTATAGTCCAGGCTTTATGACTTAAACATCACCTTTTCCTGTTACGGGCATTAGCATCACTGATGAGTGGCTTCTCAATTGCAGCACGGCCAGCAATTCCCTGTTTATGAAGCTCCCTTCTAATTGTTTTGGTACTCACAGGGTTCGGTAACACAACATTCATTTCAGCAGTAACTTTTGCAGCTGTGGTCTTCTTATTTTTCGTCACAATTGCCTTTAATGATCGTCTGTCACGATCACTCAGGACACACTTTCGTCTGCGCTGTGATTTAGCAGATGATGTTTTTCCACTTTTCAAATATGCGGAATAAATCTTCGATACAGTACCTCTTGAAACACTAAACACCTCTGCTACCTTGCTTACGGAAGCACCTACCATACGTGCTCCAACAATTTGCCCACGTCGAAGTCTGTTAACTCTGACATAATGCAATGACAACCTCACATAACAGTACTCTGACAACAACTGAACTGTTTAGCACATTTACGAAGTTGTATAGGTGGCGTCAGTAGTCAAAAACGCCAGCGCATCCTACATATTTCATTAAAATAAATCAATCTTTTCAAACATGCATTTCACAAGGTGTTTCCATATTTTTGTCCATCCACTGTATATCTCATTAATTCACGATCTTTGCTGTAAATAATGTACTGAATGCATTGGAAATCTGTATATGCAGCTAAACTTCAAAATTGTTTGGTGGTCATTTCATACAGATGAAATATTAATTCAGAAGTCAAACAACAAAAATCAGCGTTATATTTACAAAATTTTCACAGGACTAGTTTCGATGGTTTTACCGAACCACCATCTTCAGCTGCAAAACCGCAAATTGCGGTTTTGCAGCTGAAGATAGCAAGCTATTGCAGTCATGAAAAATTTCAATTTGATTAAGCATAACAATTTGTTACATAATTATTAACATTTCATATGTTTTGTAGGTTATATTGTAGTTCAAGTGCAATATCTCATCCAACACCAGATGGCTGTGAAAAGGTGTACTCTGACAAAATAAAAAATATTGTTGAAGAAATAGCCAAATTAACTTTAATTGAAGTGGCTGATTTAAATGAATGTTTAAAGGTATGATTTTGTTTCTTTGATTTTACCTTTTAAAATATTTCTTTTGAAATATGATTATCATGCCGTTGTGAATTTTTCATTCAAAATATTAATTTATCTCTCAATTGTGACTATTTCGTATTAAATTGCATTTTTCATTCAAATGATATATTATAAAAGGACCTTAAGTCGGGTTTTCCCCCTTCCAAATTGGGGCTTGTTTGCTTGAAAACAGTGTTTTCTCATATTCCATGGTCGACAACAGTATATATATATATATATGATTATATAGTATTTGCAGCACATGCTTCTTCAGCAACTGTTTCGAGAATTTCTTTTATATTTAATATGGTTCACTCAAAAGGGAAATTAGTGTATGTTTTCAAACACTGTAACACAGATTAACTTACCAAGATCTTAATCTTTATCAACTTTTTTGTTTTGTTGTAGTCTTTAGTCAGATTTTGTATATTGTACGTTGTGTGAACATCAACTTGCATTAATATATATGAAAAAAAATATGCTGATATGTCTTGATATGTGTCAAGCACTAAGTTTAAAATATGGAGCTAATTTGTTTATGATGTATTTGTATTTTAACTTGATAATATGGGAGTAGTTACTAAAGTTTTATTAGAAGCTATCAGGACATCATAAACAAAAGATTAACTGAGTTCACAAAGTTTTTAGTTACAGTTAAACTTATCTGAGTTAACAAAGGTTTTAGTTGCAGTTAAGTTTTCTCTATGTTGTTTTTTTTGTAATGAATGCTTTGAGTTCTGTCAATATTTAATTCCTAATTTTTGTATGATCTTGCATAGCATATGTAAATAATGCTTCCTTTCCTAAAGTAAGGTTATATTAATTCGAGTCCTGTTTCAGGAGACTGCCCGCAGTATTGAGAATAGTGAAGGTGAATATTTATCTGAGAGATATTTAATTTTGAAAATAAAACAGAAATAAAGAAAACTATAGAGTACTAGTACAATTAATGACTGGTATATAAGAAAATATTAACATTTTTATTTCATGATATCTTTTGCAATATAGCATCAGTTATTTATCATCTCTCCATATATTAGGCTACATGTATTCTTAGACTGATTTGCATATTATTTGTTATACTATTGTCTTATGCTAATATGTATGCTATGTAAAACATACCATCTGCTCTTAAAATATTATCCCTTTAATGTAGTATGATTGTAGCTACTGAAAGCAGATCCTCAGTTTATGTATTATGCAGATCTTAGAAAGTTGATTAGATAATATATTGCATTTCAAAAATCCACTTTCTGTGATCTGTAATTTAAAAAATGATAAATGCAAATGTTTAATAATTGTAAAGTTTGATGTGTGATAATTTGAAATAAAAAAATTTAAGTACTTGTATGTTAGCATAACCAGAAGTTACCATTAGAAGCTATCAGGAATGCACCAAACTGTGCCAAACTGTTTCAGAATGCACCAAACTGTGCCAGTAATATTCATAGCAATTCTTCAGGTTTAACGTACAACTCTTTTGGCTGCATCCTCTTTATTTTATTTAAAATCTGCACTTGTGGGCACTGCTTGCAATCAAAGAAACTGTGGCAAAATTTCTCCAGGAATACCATATTTTGCCACTAAGAAAACACTTGCTTTGAAATTCTTAAAATAGATGTTACAAAATTTCTTCACATGCACACACACACACAAAAAAAAAAAAAAAAAAAAAAAAAAAAAGTAAAATAAAACCTGGTTATGAGTAAGCTTGCTGATTAATTTTTTGGGTAAGCATGTAATTAAATTATAACATAGAGCGACAAGCCAAAACATTATGACCATCTTTACATTTTTTAATGGACTCATCTTGATGACATGGAGAGCATGTGATTAAGTGGAAATAGTATTTAACTGTTGCTAAGAAGATAAGGAATTGTTCTTGCACTTTTGTGAGTGGTGGGAAAGGCTGCTGATCTAAGCAAATTTGTTAGTGGGCAGATTGTAATGAACTGAAGACTTAGAATGAGTAGCTCCAAAACTTCACAACTGGTAGGTTGTTCATGAACTGCCATTATTATTTATGCAAAGTGGATAAATGACTGTAAAACCAGCAGTAGACACCAAGGTGCTGGATGTCCATGCATCATCAAATAAAATGGATGTCAGAGACTGTCTCACTTGGTATATATAAAATCGGCACCAGACAGTGGCTCAGCCGACTGCCCTATATGAATATGAACGCAGGTGTAAGTGCAAGTATTTTGGAACACACAGTTCAGTAGTGTGCAGCAGATGTCCCACTCATGTGTCTTTATTGATCAAGCATCATTGTCAAATATGCCTACAGTGGACCCAGGAATTATAAACTGAACCATAGATAAGTGGAAGACAGTTGCCTGGTCGAATGATTCACAATTTTTCATTCATCACATTAATGGTCGTGTCAGGGTAAGTTGTCTTTCAGGTGAACAGTTGCTTCCACGCACAGCACGTCATACTCAGGCGGGTGGTGGTATTATGCTGTGGGGGACATTCTCATGAGTGGTTCTGGGACCCTAAGTTGTGGTAAAACAGACCATGAAAGCTGCGAACTATTTAAATATAATTGCAGATCAGTTGTGCCCTTACATGGCATCTGTTTTCTCAACTGGAAATGGAATCTTTCATCAGAAAAATGGCCCATGTCATAAGCTTCGAACTGTGTTGGATTGTTTTGAGGTGCATAAGGGTGAATTCCAGTTATTGTCCTGGCCACCTAACTCACTGCATCTTAACCCAATAGAGCACATTTGGGATATTATGGAGCAGTAGGTCAGATCTCAAACACCATCATGTCAGAATATCTCGACATTGCGTGACCACTGCTTAGACATCATTTGGTAAAACCTGTCTCCAGTCATCTATCAAGAACTTGTGAATCCATGCCAAGGCGAATTGCAGCTGTTTTCTAGGCTAAAGGTGATGCAACGTCTTATTGAGTAGGTGGTCGTAATGTTTTGACTCTTCTGGTGTATGTATATAATAAATAATTTTGTGCAGTTATAAGGCAACATTCGTTTCCTTCTGTAAAAGTCCCCAGACCGTGCTAAAATGGTTACGTTCTGAAGTTTATATCTCAATTTGCGCTTTTGGCAGTAAGTCATAGATATTAAAACCATACATTAGTTTGATCTGTGTGAATATTAAAAACTTGTACAAATGTAATTTACATAATTTGAACAATAGAGATGTACAGATTTGTATTTATCTTTTACTAAAATGTATTTAAATTGCAGAAAAAATTAAACATCAAAGACACACCAATGATGATGGGTGCCATGCCTGTTGCTGCCCCTTCTAGAGCTGCAGAGGTAACACTTTTTTTGTTTAAAATATTTCACTCATTTAAAGAAATTCATTCATTGCATTGTCTTTTATTTGTGAACAAACAAGAGTATTTGTTGCATTAGTTCATAATTTTAAAATTTGAACATTAGATTCTTTGGATTACATTACTCTGAAAGAAAAAAATATTATTAAACATATAAATTTTTTGGTTTTATTATCAAAGCTTTAAAGTGGAATTAAAATGTTAGATGTTTCATCTCGCTGTAAGAATGTTATAACGAGAAAAAGATGAATAAATGGAATAATGAGAAAAAGATGATAAAAAACTAATGTATATAGTTTATTCTGTGTCAGCATTGCTTTACCTAAAGTTTTTTGACAAAAGAGTTATTTAACATGCTTCAAAGTAAACTGTTTTATTTTATTAACCCCTGAGTGCATTGACTGTCCTTAACCTGTCTCATGAGAATTGTCATTTGATTAAATTACTTTATTTGAAGTATTCTCTTTAGTTATCTAAATAGTACATTAATGAAGGAAAACCAAAACTAAGATAATTAATTACAAAAATTAAACAAACATATGCTTTTTAAATACATTTCCTAATTAGATTTAAAAAAATCGTACCACTCAAAGGGTTAATTACCATAAGACCGACCTTGATAAATATCCGTAATTAAGCTCTGTAAGACTGTTAAAGTGAGATAAAAGAGTAGGAATTATATTTTGCGCTAATATCATAATACCGTAATAGTGAATATATAATTTTGTTTCGCATAAAAGCTCAGAAATAAATACTGAAGAATGGTGTACTCACATACACTTTATTCATCTGATCTGGTTCTCATACAGCTTATTGCATAGCACCTCAGTTTGTATTCTCTTTGTCAAACATTAGAAGCTGTGTCATCTAGCGAGCTACCCCCTTTCAATTCTGACACTAGGAAACTGAATTCTATATTACTCAAAACAAAAAATAACACTTGATTACAGAAATGCAAATTAAAGAGAAAACAATGGATAGGCATATTATAGTTAAGAAATAACACTTGTTGCAATAAAGTTTAAAGTCTCTGCTGAAGCAAGATGTAAATATGATGAACACTTCTCTGAATATGCTTACCATCTGATAGTAGTTATTTTACAACATATATTTTACCATCATATCATTGCCTGGAAATACCTCAGTAATCCCAACTATCAACCACTTGGGTGGAAAATCTATATAGTTTCACATTACTATTCTAGTAGCAATAATTTTGCAACACATATCTTACTGTCATTGCTTGACAGTACCTCAATTCTAGATATCAACAACTGGGTGGAAAATCTTTTGTAATTACAACAGACCATTACAGTAGTGTTTAATGTTATCTTTTAAAATATTTTTTAATAGCCTTTTTGATCTATGCTGTTGATTATTAAGATAATCGTGCATCTACATTTTCCAAATCTATTGGTTATTTTCTGCGAAGTCTATTTTCAGGCACATCAAGTAAACTCCTCAGCTATAGAGCTTATTTTTTGACTGATTAAAAAATGACCTAGCGACAAAACACGAAAATCATTGGGGTCTGCTGACGTTTGATAGAGGAGGCATAGATTTAGAAAAAAAAACCTCAATTTGCACCACAACTATCAAAGATTTCCGCGAAGTTAATTTAGTATTTTCTTAAATTCATTTCAATGAATGATTTTAGTCCTGACTTCCAGAGGCTGCCAAAATCGAGTGCTCTGGGAGGGATAAGTACCAGTTTACTTTCTGTGGTGGCAAATATCCTGCAAAGAGTTCATCAGAAAATATAATTCTACCTTTGTTCTAGTAAAGGTTTTAGCATTATCCATGAAGATTCATTGTGGTTAACTTCCAGAAGAAAAGTATTTTAAACAAGCAAAGAAAGGTTGTGTTTGTTATAGTTTGTTACAGTTTCCAGGTGTGTGGCATGAATAGCAAGACAAATAAATATTGCTGCATATACTTTGTTGTATACACCTTTTCTTTGATTTTTGTACTTTATAAGAAATGGCCTATAGAAATCAGTTCCTGCTACACCAAATACAAAATTTTGAGTTTCGCAGTTGTGAGGGAAATTCTCTATCACTTGATGAAAAGTTACCACATATGCTCTAAAACAAGTAACACATTCATAATATTTCTACAAAGCTTTCATCCACTGATAGGGCAGTATTTTTCTTGTATATGATACAATAAAGTTTGTAAACCTATGTGGAAACATTTCCTGTGAACATAGATTAAAATCAATGAAAATACTCTAAAATTAAATACTATCTCATGAAATTATAAGCTATTCTAACATCCAGAATAATGGGGAAACCAGGTGCAACTATTTTATTAAACATTTAATCAAACTATTATTACATATCTGAGTTCATATAAGTTTAAAAATATTGCTGTAAATGTGCATGTAATTTTTTTTTTTTTAATATTATGTTAATGTGATTTTTATTTGCTTTTTGGAAGTTATATGCATGATGTTTCCTTGACATTATTTGTTTTTTAAATCATTTGTAATTTTTCATATTTTAGGATGAGGATGCTCAACCTGAAGTAACAAAATCTTCATTTACTGTAAAATTAATGAAATTTGAAGAATCGAAAAAAGTAGCGGTTATCAAAGAAGTTAAAAATCATATAGAGGGCATGAATTTAGTACAGGTATGATAATCAATTGATTTTATAAAACAGATTTATTTATTAAAGGGGAAATCTTGAAATTATCAATACACATACTTGAAACCTGGTTTTTATAATCACTCTAAACTACTTGCAAAGTAATTATTATTATTATTATTATTATTATTATTATTGAAAAGTAGTCTGATGAAGGTGATATGGTTTACAATCATATGCAATGTTTTTCAGAATTAGTATTTTTAAGTATTTTTTTAAATCTGATTACCTTCCCATTAAGTCTTTTATTATTACATTAGTCATTTAAACTGATATCTGAGAAATTAATTGCTGTCCAGATGTCTGAAAGGTTTTACTGTACAAATTTCATCCTTAACATTCTTGTATATGGTATAAGATGATCTTGAGTTTTTAGTCTTCATACTTTTGAACAAAAACAACAAATGCTATGTTTTTGCAGTTCTGAATTTTAACTCCCAACTGGGAGGTGCAGTCTCACAGACTGCTAGCGTTGGTTTTCTCATTATGTCTCTTCTATTTTTAGCTGAACTGAATTGATTCACCCTGTAACTTCTTCTTTCATGACTTGACTGGATTGGAATATTTTCTTAAAATTTTGGCATCTGTTTCCCCCCCCCATATTCCAACCATCTGTTTCCACACTGTCTAGAAGATTGCATCTCCCTCTTAATGTTCTGATGAGAATGATGCTGAAACTTTGCCCTTGAAAAGTCATGCAACGTTTTGATCTGTGTAATGAGGCAAAACTTTAAAGACTTCTATAGGGAGTATGAAGACAGAGTTGAAACAATTCAAACAGCTGCATAACGCTGAAATGAGAAAATATCTGAAATATGTATGTATATGCTGGTTATCTTTAGAGAAATGCTCAGAATCCTCAACCAATGGAACCCACGTCTTAGGTTTTTAAGGGAAAAGTCAATGCTGCTAGAGTTAAAGGCTCTGCTGAAAGTTATAAAATACCTTAACTAAATGGAGATGTAGTGTTACTTCTACTGTTAAAATTCTGCACCTGCGAGCAATTTAATTGTCCAATCTCAAAATAATGCTAGAAAATAGCATCATGCCTCATTACACAGATCTTGAATAGCATCATGCAGAACAGTCCAAATTTATCCATTGTTTTTAATTTTTTCATTTTCCACATAAGGGTTACTTATGATATTCAATTGTTTTCATCATATACTTATTCAAGAGGGACAATAACTAATTTTATGTTTTTTCAAAATAATATTCAATGCAAGCTATATTCTGACAAAAATTGTATGCTATAAAATATTTTTTTTGTGATAATATATTTAGTAAAATTTAAAAGTATTTTTTAAAAATTAATGTCAATTATGAATATAGTGGAACCTCGAGATGCAAGTTTAATTCATTCGAGCATTGAGCTCATATAGTGAACTTCCCCATTGAAAATAATGGAAACCCAGTTAATTTGTTCGCACCCCCAAAAGTATCAACATGAAAATCATTTTTCTGATAAATAACACTGGTAAATAACATAACCAGAGTTATACCTTTATGATAGCTTCTGACACCGACCTTAACTGGTTCTTGTTAATCTACACCAACAACATCTTCTAGGAGTTTTGGATGATGCTTAGAAGTAATGGTAACTCCTTTGCTTACATCAAGTTTTGTAATTTCTTTCCTTTTCTTCAGAATAGTACAGATCGTTGATGTCGAACGGCCGAAAGTCTTTGCCAATTCCATCACTCTTACACTATGCTTATGTTTATCAATGATTTCTTTTTTAATTTTAGTGGCCATGGCTTTTTTATTTTTCTTTGTAGCACTATCTGAGGCAACAAACTTCTTGGGAGGCATCATGAAATAATTATTTTCACGTTAAATGTAATAAACAACTCACAATCACACAAACACGTAGATCAAAGAACAATGAGTGATCTGACGAGGGGATTCCTTGAGTTCAGCTGGATCAGGAAATGGGCCAGGTATACCAAAAACCTGACTTATTGCTCATTACTCTTCAATGCTCATATTTAGAGACAAATTTTTTGCTTACACTTTCCTCGAATTTCTCATATATAGATATGCTCGTATCGCAAGATTCCACTGCATTGGTAATCATTGGAAAGTGTATAGATTCAAAATCCAGCAATCTAGTGTGTATAACAAATGCATGAGCATCCTTAAAAATATTGTTTCTTATTTTGCAAGAAACCTCTGTGCTCGAATTGTTCCTTGAAAACCTTTTAAATGAAGAATGCCTATGTGCATACAGTAAAACCAGTGTTTCTTGAACACTTGTTTTAAAAACTGATTTATTTTTGGCTATATTTTGGAAGTTACTAAAATGTGTTTTAATGGTAATTTACATTTCATTTCAGGCTAAAAAATTTGTGGAAAGTGCACCTCAGATTTTAAAAGCAGACATTGCTAAAGATGACGCTGAAAAACTGAAAGCAGCTTTGGAAGCTGTGGGTGCTACATGTGAAATCTCATAAATCACCATGAAAACTTCTTATGTAGAAAAACATATAAACATTTGAAAAAATATAAGTTGCTACTACTACTTTTATGAAAGTGTTGCACATACGAATTTTATTAAAACTAGAATCAAACTAAATATTTAAAATCATTGTAAATTAATAAAAATATAAAAAACTTGCTTTTAGCTTTCTCATTTTCTCTTTCGTATTTGCATTGTAATTATGACAAACCAAATAATAAAATTAATGAACTTGTTTAATTATTTTTTCTAATAAATTTTGTTTCATTGATTATAGCATATTTTATTTAGAATGCTTAAGTTTATGATGGGATGTAATTTAAAATATGCATTTGATAAATTTATATTTGACCTTTACTTTATGAAGTAAAAAAATAATTTCTTGTGACATTCTGCTCATTTATTAATTTGTAATGCATTTAATAAAAAATGTACTTTATTGGAGTAAATATTGTGTTACAGTTATATAATTATAGATTAATATTGAAATTTGTATAGAGAAAGAGCCTTGAAATATAATTTAGTGGCATTTGTTGTAATTTTATTAGTGTTTTGAACTGTTTTTTTTTCTCCTAAAAAGTCTGCCTTGAAAAATATTTCGTAAAAATTTTATATTTTGTATTTTTTAATGACTTGTGTGCTTTTTAAAATTTCTTATAAAATAAAATATTAAAACGTACGTAAATGAGAATAAAGTGGCAATTGATATAAGTAATTAATAAGAATATTTGCATTTTATTTAATTTGTACTTGCAAAATAAAGTGCATAAAACAATACTGACTAATATTTTTTGTTAGGTAAAATTTGTTGGTAGACCCTGAAATGTTTTCTGAAAATTTTATGTAAACGTGTTTAATTCTGTAGATATTGCATTAGTTAAAAGAATGATGTGCAATGATATTGTAATTTTTTATTCATTCATGCATTTATTATTCATTCATTTGAAAATAAAATTTAATTAAAATTTCCTTTTATTTATAATTTTTCATATTCTAGCTTTTCAATCCTGAATTTAGAACAGCATATTTTTTAAATAATTATAATAATAGTTTCTCATTCTTTTAAACACAGAAACAAAAAAGAATATGATGCAAATACTGTAAAGCATTTTCATTAAATATGTATGTATTAACTTATCTTGATAAAGCCAGAGTTAATGTAAAGAAGTTATACAGTAGAATTCCAGAAATCCACAAAGCTTGGGACCAGAGGTTGTGCAGATTTTAGGATTTTGCGGATTGCAGGACAGAAAAGATAAAGCATAATATTCAGACTAAAAGTGCAAAATGAATAAGGCATGTTAAATACATTTAATTAAATTATTATATACATTATTGCAATAATTTATTATATGCATTAAATTATTAATTCATATGTAAATTGATTATATTATTCATTGTGTTACATGTACACAACATCGAAGTTTGCCAATTTCGCCCCATGCAAAGATTTCCGGTTTCGGATTCCTGTGTTAGAATGAATCACTGTTGCTGTAAAATTTCAACAGCTTTTCTTTATTTTTCCGTGTATCATACACAATCGTGTTGCAATTCAATACCATTCTGCTATAAATCGAGGAGTAGCACCTACTACCATCTTTTGCAGAATTTACACTTTTTGCGTTACCGCCAATGCAACATGTTTACATTTTTCAACGTTGCAAGCAGTAAAATTACGAGTGCATTTCTGATCTGTCATGTTAAAAAAAGCTGAAATTAAAAATATTTTTAATTTATCCTCAAAATATCCGGATAAAAAAAAAAAGCACTAAACAATCTCGTGAAATGAAATAACAAAGCTCAGAAAATACAACGTAAATCGTGAACTTGAACAAAGAGTTGAGTGAATTGTCTGCTTCTTTACTTCAATGAAGATTAGAGGGGGAAAAACTTATCTTTTTTATTTTATCTTATTTTTTTAAAACTTTTTTATATCAATAATTTGGTATTTCCGTTTTGACTCATTATTATTCGGTAAGTATTTTTTTCTTTGATATTTCGTACTCAATGTTGTGGTTTCCGGAACCTATAAACTGAATGTTTACATTCTGAGGCAACACATATTTCAGGTCGGCGGATTTTCAGTATTTGACTGTATCTCTGAAATTATGTTTATAAATTTTTTAAGTCTCTTGTAATTTTTACATTGTTTCACATTAACAAAACATTTGTTCTCAGTATAAGAAAATGCTTTTCAGAAAAAAAAAACAGGCAATTTTGCTTAAACTGCTTTCTCCACTATTCATTCTTCGAGAAAATAACTAAAGAAGATTGATTATTAAATGTACTTCTAGGATATTCCAGCTCTTTTAACGAGTAACCACTTTCCTACTTCCTGTTTAACTTTTTGTTTTCTAATAGCTTAGAAGTGATAAAAGTGTGATAAGCATATATGAATTATATATTAAAATCTAAAAACATGTATAATGATTTTCAGCTAATATGTTTTTTTGAGAAACAGTATATTGAAAATCAAAATTCTAGTTGTGTAAAGTGATAGCCTTAAATATCTAATTGGAATATAGTCTATATTTCTAGATCTCTTGCTGATTGGAAATTGTTAGTTATATGTAAAAGTATTTGATGCACCTTTTTATAAGCATTGTAGGTTTGCTGAGAAAAATTCTATTATACCTTTAGCAGAATGTTTCGCATAGCATCGCAAGGCAGTGCCACAGAGAGTGAAAAACGAGAGATTTCGGAAACATCTAGAAGCAAACGAATCAGTGTCTGGGATTGATATTGTAATTTTGCTAGTCTTAATATAGAAGGTTCACAAATGAAGTAGTAACATGGTGGCTGAAGCACACAAACATTTATGGCGTGGAACAAAATGTATACATTCTCTCACACTATGCATTTTATAAAAATGAAGGATCATATGTTTGCAGTAGTGGTGTAATGTTGTACTACACAGAAGATTGAAATGCTCTGTCAGTTTTGTTGGATTTAAGCCGAGGAAGTATTTTTATTGCTGTGAAATTGATTTCCATGGCTGTTATGTAACTGTATGGGCTATCCATGACTTGTGACTGTATGGGTTAGAGTCATAGATAATTTTCTCCTGGATCCATGATTTTTAAAAAATCGCTTAAACATATTTTACAAATTCTGCAACGTCACATTCATAACTATGCATCATTACTATTCATCTTCAGGAGACCAGATTTGTAAGCTTGTAATTTTTAATGTCAAATTTGTATGCAGGGTTTTGTGTCATCACGTATGAGTATGCAACAACTGCTTTGAAATCATTTTGGTAATTGCACCGTCTTGGATCATTTTTTTTCCATTCTCATAAATTCTGTTCCTCTGATTTAATATTTATGGATCTCCAACTCTGTGTTTATCTGAATTTGTTAGTTCTTGTACACTTAATATCTAAAAGAATGCCCTGATGAGGGAAATCTGAAGTATCCCAATTGATAAACAGAATAATTCCTATACATTGAGTGAGTTAAAGCATAATGAGAAAGTATGGAGTACCGCTGCTAATGAAGCATGCCACTTTTGTTATTGGTCATATGTAATGTCTGTTTGGTATTTATTGAACTTTTTAATGTGTAATTAAATAATTTTTCTTCATCTTTCATTCTTTTATTTTATGCTTAATTCTTGCTATTTTCCCTCAACTTATATCCCACTGTTTCACTCTTAGTTGATTTTTGTAATTTGCAACATTATTATTATTTAAGGGACATGAGTAAAAAGTTATTTATTGCCATTTTTATATGTGCAGTGACTTTCACTGTCCATTTGGAAATGTTTCGAGGCCTAACGTGTGAGAAATAATTACATGCCTTTAAATGCATTATTTTAAGATGTGGACTAAAGCTGTGTATGGTAAGACTGCAAAGATCTTTCAATAGAGCATAATGCGAGCTTTAAAAACAGTGTTCATACGGCCCTTAAAAGTCCTTAGATTTTTTTGGAAATGATTTTTGATTCTTAAAAGTCCTTAATTTCGAAGAAAATTGGCAAAAGGTCCTTAATTTTATAGGAAATTTCTCCCTGCCATTTTGAGTGTAAATGAGCATTTTGGAGGAATATTTTTGGCACTGGTTTGACTTACGAGTTATTTTTTGAATTCTTTACTGCTAATAAAACAGGGTTTGTATGGTCCTTAAGAGTTCTTAAAAGTCCCTAAGTTTTTTTAAATCGATTTTTGGTCTTTAAAAAGTCTTTAATTTCGGCCAAAATCGGCAGGAGGTCCTTAATTTTAATTATCTGAAATTTCTGTCTTTTTACGACTTGAAATTTCTTCTTTTTACGACTGCCCTTTTGAGTGTGAATTAGCATTTTGCAGCAATATTTTTGGCGATTCACTGACAAATATGGTTCTTTTTTTGAAGAATTTGTTTCTATTTGTAATATAACTGGTGGGATACTTGAGTTTCTGAGCAAGAAGTGAAACAGAAGCATTTCGAAATTATTTCATTTTTTGTAATGAAGAGCTCTCAAACAACTTTCCACTTTTGGCGATGTGAATTCTTTTAGTACATAGTTCTAAATTTGGCGACTTATCAACATTTTGGCGATTTTAAGATCGGTTTCTATGGAAAATTCTTAATTCCGAAATCTGGGAAATTTTTTGGGACTTTTTTAGAACATTCTAACACCGATAAATTTCATTAAAATAATGGTAATGTATTGGAATTATATTTAAGAAATAACATTAAAATAAAGCATTTTTATTTTTCACTGTCATATTATACAATGTTTTGAACCTGAAAAATAAGCAAAGTATAATGCTATAAAGCACAATTTACGAAACAAGTTTTAGCAAAAACAAAATTGCTATGTAATTAATTAAAAACGTCTTTTTAATTTTTTTCCATTTCTCAGAATATTCATCAGTTTTCTCTTTCTCTACTTTAGTGAAAAGTGACACAAGCATGAAAAATGCTTCTAATGTTATCATATGGACAGGCAGGTGTGTCACTAAATTCTAAAAATTATGCCACACCAGCTCTGTGGCCGGACCTTACTATATGTATTTCATATTTCTTCTGAATGTCCGTATTAGTAAAGAAATAAAATTAGCACCTTTTTCCATACATTCTAAATACATTTTGTCTTTTAGAAAAACAAAAATCTTTAGTTAAATTCTAAAGTGAAAAGGAAATATGTTGAAGAAACGAACTAAATAGGTAAAGAGAAAGAAAATTATTCTTCAGAGATATGTAGTTATTGTTATATAAATTACCCAGCTGTTAACAATTTCAGCTTTTTCTATAATTTCCCATTTCTATTTCCTCACCAGAATGCAAATCACTGAGACAATTTTTAAACTGAGGTTTTTTGGAGTGTAAGACAAGATTGTGTTTCTGACCTCCAGTTGCTACCTGTATTAGTTCCTATCAGCTCGGATGATTTCTATTACCGCTGCTGACATTTGAGTTTATTATGGCGATCGAGTTATTGAACCAGATTAAATTGACCACTAGTCCATATTTTTAGTTTGAATTTGACTCTTCTTGTTTAATTACATCACCACGAGCTGTACATGCCTTTATGTTCTAATTTCTTTTTAAATATGAAGCTTATTTAAACCTCTGATTTATAGTTAGTTTCAGACATAGCCATAATTTGTTTCACATCTCTCGGGGGAGCGGAATGGGACTATTTAACTTTTACTTGATCAAGTAAACCCTCAGTAGTACATTGTGGAGAGGTTGACAGGCGATAAAACAGGCAGAAACTAATGAGAACATTGTTTTGCATATTGAGACAAATTTCTAATTGTTATAAAAGATGCTTATGGAGAAAGAAATCAATATAAATTAGCCAAAATGTCTGGCAGGTCTTTACATTAAAAAGACGCATAATTATTTTGTTGCTACATAACATAAATGTTTAATGCCTAGTTATCCTAATATTGTTTAAAAATCAATGTCATAAATTGCATGTATTTTAAACTGTGGAATTTTATTAGATTGTGACATTAATAGGGTTCCTTTAAAAATATT